GATCATCCCAGGCCTCTCCCTCCCCACAGTCCTGGGCATGGAGGGTGGCACAGGCCTAACGTGTGCTGTGCCCCGCCCTCCGCTCTTGCACCCATGGCAGACACCTTCTCCTGCCGGCCTAGGTGACCTGCTCCCTGACCCTTCCCAACACGGCTCCAGGCAGACCCTGTGGATCAAGCAGAGCTGCGGCTGAGAGGAACCGTCCGCTCCCCCAGGGCCAGCCTTTCCGTGAGGCATTTGCCAGCGTACGACCTGCTTCTCCAGCCTCAGCATTTTACCACCAAAGTACCTGGCTAATTCAAGCCCAGTCAGACTGCGTGATGGTCTTCAGGTTCCTTCCCCCTGAACTACTTAAATGTACGTGCCACATAAACAATGCTGCTTTATTTTTAAAAAATTAACGGATGAAGCGAAGTCTCCTTTGACAAGCCCCTCATCCTGTTCCTTTCCCCAGAAGCCACGCTGCTTCCATTTTTACGTGTATATGTTCGAATTATTTTTCTTTGTCTTTACGTATCCAACCGTACACACAGAAAAAATATAGTATTGTCTTGGAGGTGTGTGTGGAGGGATCGTTTTAATATAAATAATATGCTGTACGTGTTACTGGACATTTTGGCGTGGATCTACCTACTCTCAGTAACTAGAGCACAGGGGTCTGTGGTAAGGACATGGCCCCGTCTACTCAGCCACCCCCCTACTGCTGGGCATTCAGGCAAGTTCTGATTTTTCATGGAGACAGACAAGCCTGCAGTCAACGTGCCCACTTGTTCGCGTGGGCGAGACTTTAGGAAAGAGGAGTAAAGAGGCTGGATCACAGGACCAGCTCGTTTACAACTTTAAGCCGTGCGCTAAAGGGCTCCCCCAAGGAGCTGTGCCAACCTACACCCCCTGCAGCAGCCACGAGCNCTGCGCTGAAGGGCTCCCCCAAGGAGCTGTGCCAACCTACACCCCCTGCAGCAGCCACGAGCGGGCCCAGGCCCCAACCTCACCACTGAGGTGCGGGCCTCCCTCCTCCCAGCAAAGCGAGCCAACTTACCAAGGAGGAGACGGCACCTTGCCGTGGCTCCAGTTTGCCTTTCCCTACCCGCTGGCAAGGCTGAGCATCGCTCTGTACCCCCATGGGCCCCGGCACCTCCTCTCTGACCCAGCTCCATCCACCAGTGCCCCGGGGCCCGGCCAGCGCCAGCCGTGCCCTCCCTGGGTCACTCGCGTACCTTCTCCTGAATCTGGCCCCCGATGCTGCGCAGGGCCTCCTGGAAAACTCTGTTCTTGGGCTCGAGGCGGACACACCTCTGCAGGTCCAGCACGGCCTGGTCCAGGCGGCCCAGCTTCTGCAGGGCCTGGCTCCGCCGGTACAGCGCCTTCACGTCCCCGCCGTCCCTCTCGAGCGCTGGGCACACACGGGAGCCGGTCAGGGAAGGGGCCCGAGGGAGGTGGGGGACGGGCGTGGGGGCCCCGGCTTCAGCCTCAGGACAGGGGAGGGCGGCTGCAGAGGAGGAGGCGCGCGTGGACGTGGGAAGGAGGC